AAAAAAAAAAAAAAAAAAAAAAAAAAAAAAAAAAAAAAAAAAAAAAAAAAAAAAAAAAAAAAAAAAAAATTATATGATATTTATATCCATATTATTTCTTTTCAATTCACACCTTACTTCTTACTATCTTAATATTATAAATGCGAAAGTTTCAATGTATGAATGGATGGATGTTTGTTTGAAGATATCAGCGGTACGGTTCAACGGATCTTGATGAAATTTGGCACAGATATAGAACATAGTCTGGAAAAACACGTAGTAACTACTTACTAAGTTTTTTTGTCAATACCATACGGACGGAGTCTCGGGAGACAGCTAGTTGTAAGATGTTACAAATCATACTTAGTTTTTTTTTTAAACTTAACTGTAAATAATGCAAGTAACCTATCAAATTTTAATATACTTAAACTTACGAAGTTCACAATTTTACGGTGACATATAAATAATTTGAAATGTTTCAGGCGTAAATCAGCGTTAGAAGATGTTGCCGTAAAACCGTTAACGCAGTTCCCAGTCGCCCTTGATGAAGAGGTAAGTCTACTATACCGAAAAACTGCGTAATAAATTTTAATACAGTTTTCAATAATATTATATTAAGACGAAAATATCAAAATAACAAAAACACTACGACACAATCAAAATCTTACTATCTTATCTTACTATGTTACTAATGTTATAAAAATAAAAGTTTGGATGTATGTTACTTCATATCTGCAGAACGGCGCAACGGATCTAGATGAAATTTGGCATACATATAGAACATATTCTGGAAGAACACATAGGCTACATACGATCCTTGAAATACATACGGTTTCCGTGGGATATTTGATTAAAATATTAACTCGATAACTCTATAAAGGTTCTACATATTTTGTTAAAAGGGATAAAAATAGAACATAGCCTGAAGTAACACACAGTACGACTATTCATCCGTTCTTTTAATTCCGTGCGGACGAAATCGCGGGCAAAAACTAGTATTTAATCATCATCATCAGCTCACTGCACGTACTATACTGAGGGGCTTGGAGCCTACCCTAAGTTAGGGGTGACTTCACACATATCTTTGAATTTCTTCTCAGATATGTGCAGCATCGCGATGTTTTCCTTCACCGTAAGAACGTCGGATAAATGTACATATGTAAAGATTTAAATGTACATATATTTAATAATTGTAGTTAATTTGTTTTTAGAAGAAAAAGAACCTTTTTTATGACTTTCGTAAGATGATAATAAATTAATTTTTATTTTTTTTTCTTCTTTATTAATTAAAAACGCAATATAATCCTTAGTAAATCGTGTTCTCCTTTTACTTTGAAAATAACTTCCTTATTGCTTAAAGTCGAATTTACTAGTAACTGTGTGTTTCTGAGACCAAAATCCCAGTACAAAATATATTGTTATCTCTGTTTTGTTGAAGATAATGACAGAGATGGCATGTTTTATACAGAGATTTCGGTCTCAAAAACTCACGGTAATATCAGATTCTGTTCTTAGCATAAATTTGTTTAATTTATTTGAGGAAATCAGCACCTGTATATTAAAAATAGCTCAACATCATGAATAGGAATGTGCTATTTTTTTTATAAATAGATGTAATTTACATTTTATTCATGTTTTTTAAATTGCTGAGATTATATAATCTATAAATAAAACAATGAAATTCGTTTGCATCTTAAATTGTGGTGGTATTCGATTGACGAGGCTTTTGTATCTACACATATCGTTGTCCTTGTTTTTTACAAAGAGAATCAAAGGGATGGCAGTATGAATTGTAAAAAGTTGAACTGCAGGGGAAACCCGCTGTTATCTTCACATAATAATTATGTTAACTCTCGCTTAACACTGACCTTGTTGGATCTTCTTTCTCGCTCTAACATACGTGTAACATACGTTCAATTTCCGTACTGTTTTCCGTACGATATGAATAAACGATTATGTTCTTTAACACTATACAATAGAGTTAAAAATTCTTTGTTCCTATTTCACGATGTTTGTATCTCGTCGACATTTCAAATAGTTTGATACAAATTATATAAATATGCGAATTTAAATTTTATTTTCTTGCTGTTATGGTTTCAATTTCAATGACATTGTAGGGTATACTTATGTCGTTTTAATACTGAATTTGAAGTGTAATCTTTCATTTAGCAATGTCATACAAACAGTGTGAAGACGTGTTTGTACTATGCGAACGTATTACGCGAAATTTTTAATAAAAAAATATGTTTTAATATATCTCTAATCAAGTTTTTAGTGTGATTACTAAAAGCTTGTATAGTGTTAGTGTTTTTAGTGGAATTTGATATAAATATTAGTGGAATTAGTGTTTATAAAGTTAGTTTTTGTGAGATAAATTGTATAGGACCGGTGTTTAGTTTCGTACGTGATAATAAGTTACTACTACTGTTTTGTTTACCCAGTAGCATTAAAAATAATCTTTATACTAAATAGTTATATGTGTTTGATTAATTATTTACATAGTAAATAATAATTCTACGGTACTAAAGTTACAAGATTTAACTAGCTGTCGCCCGTGACTGCGTCTGTACGGAAATAAAAAGTATTTCTAGCCTTACGTTGTTCTAGACTATGTTCTACGTTCGTACTAAAATTCATCGCGATCTTACGGCGAAGGAAAACATCGTGATGCAACCTGCACATATCTGAGAAGAAATTCAAAGATATGTGTGTAGTCAACCCGCACTGGGCCAGTGTGGTTGACTATGGCCTAATCACCCTTAACTTAGGGTAGGCTCCGAGCCCCACATATAGCCTTCATGAGCGGATGATAATGCAGCCATTCTGGAGATACCTTCTAACAAACATCCAAACATTCCCATTTATAATATTAATAAGATTGCATTTAATCTCTGCTATTAACTGCGTGTTTTAAAATGTCTTTTGTGTTACCATTAAAGAGTGAATTTCGTCAATTTGGAAGTAGTCTAGGGAGTCATTGTCCGGTGCCGTACGACCTTCATAAGCGTGAAACTCAGGTTAAAGGCAAACTCTATAAGCGAGACAAATGTCACGATTTCTTGGACTCTCGCTTAATCATGTTCAACTGTATTTAAGTCTGTCAAAATTTAAACTTATAACCTTTGATTTGTAAACAACTTAGTTACTTAGTAACAATTAGTTATTTAACTGAATATAAAATCGATTTAATTATAAGTGGAAGGGCTTGACACAGGGCTTTGCTTTCAGGAACCAAAGCTTCCACATAATTGTGAATTTGAATGTTGCATTAAAGCATTCATTTATTTAAAAAAAAAATGGTCTTGACAGACAGACAGACGGTCAATAAAGTGATCTTATAAGGGTTTCGTTTTTTTCCTATGAGGTACGGAACCCTAAAAAGTAACAAACAAATATATTTGTAACTTTAAAATAAGTAAATCAATAGATCCGGGACTATTGAGGTTATCTTGAAGTAATTAAAGATATGCGAATGATTTTAGCAAAACCGTTTTATCTATATCGAGGCCTTTTTGAGTTTTTTTTTAGTCAAATCTTTTTTCTTTTAGTCAGTGTTTTACAATTTACCAGCTACAAATAAAACATGGAATAATGTTTTGAAAGGGATGGGAAGGGGAGAGAAAATCGAGGTAGGGAGTGAATAGGAAAAGAAAAGAAATTATTTTTAGCCTTTCTGTCCCGTCCCCTGTCCATCTACAGTTTAGATATCTTACTTCTTACTAATATAAATGCGAATGTGTACATGGATAGATGTTTATTAGAAGGTATCTCCAGAACGGTTCCACGGATGTCTAGAAAATTTTGACATGGATGTAGATCATAGTCTTGAAGAAAACATAGGCTAATTATGTTTTTTTATTACGCGAGTACGGAGTCGCGGGCGATCGCTAGTATAGATATTTCTTAATTCGTATGTGAAAAACAATCAACTAATTTTATCGTTACAACATAACAGTTGTTCTCGTTTCCCGCCAAAATACATCTGACGGAAATATGACCGATAAATTACCACATCGACGTATGTTCCAGAAAAAAATATAATTATTAAAAAATCGATTTTATTTTTTTTATATAAAAATATCGATTTTTTTAAGGACAATACAAAAGCAAAAAAAAAACGTCATGAAAAAGAAAAATCTTCTAATTTTATCAAAGTTTTTTCAAGTCTCGTTAAACTTAGTATAGGTGTGAAAATAAATTATCTACATTTGGTTTTCACTGTCTAAAAATCCCTACATAAATATGATTCGTGTCGTATGATTTTAACAGTGAAATACCACCTTTATAATTAACAACACAATAACCTCTAAATTAAATAATTTTAACATACACAACCTTGAGTATTTGCATAAGGATAATAAAACCAATAACAATAAGCAAATATTTGCCCAAACATTAATAACAATTTAATAGTATTTTTTAAATCGGAACAAATATAAATTCAATAAAATTAATAATTAATAAGAAAAATATATTTAAATTTAAATTAACATAAATATTTGTTAATTTATATTATGTTTTAATACGCTATAACAATTATTAAAAAATATCCTATCATCGGTCCATTAGGCACCGCAACTTTTCAAAATTTTCTTTGAACTATTTCGCTATTTTAGCGAACTCAGTTGACCGATCGTATTCATCACCTGTTAATGTAAGCACGAAACTGTTACTTTTCAACCTATTTTTGAGCTATTTCGCTATTTTAGCGAATTAAGGTAACCGCTCACATTTGTCACCGATTATAAGCAAAAACATATAACCTTTAACAAACCAGTCCTCGGTGGTATTGCCAAACCGCTACGACTTAGGGTCCTTCAAGAAGCGAGCGTATTACCATCTCAAAGGACGGCAACGCATCTGCGGTTCCTCTGGTATTGCTGATGTCCATGGTCGTTGAACACCTCGGTGTTCTCGCTGCTCGTTTGCCTCCTCCTGTTATATTATATAAAAAAAACCCAGTAAAATTTCACGACATATAATAAAACTTTATCAGTCCACTATCACCGCAATCTGTAGCAACTTGATACGAGCATGTTCAGGTAAAAGCCTCTTCAGATATCCGATAATGTGTTTACACTACGGTTACAGTATCTCTTTACTAAGCAGCGGGGAAAAGCGTCGGTGGCTCAAAGGTTAAAGCACTTGACTTGTAATCCTCAGGTCCTGGGTTCGAATCCCGCCATATACCAATATGTTTTCTCGATTTTCCCGTCAATGCCCTGTCAAAATCGGTCCAGCCGTTTAGAGATTACAAGGGACCAATTGCGTATTTGCGAATCAGACAGACAGACAAAATATTTTAAAAATTGGCGTTTCGTTGTCAGCAAAGTATATACAATATGTTTTTTTTTCCAATATCAAATATAGACATCCAATTTTTTTATATGTATAGTTAAATATGTATTGTAACTTGTATTTTAAAAACGAAAGCACAAAAGTTATATTCTTCAGCTGAATTAATTGCAAAACTAACACTGTTATGAAAAAAAAAATTCAAAATCAGAGCACCAAGGGCGGAGTTACACGGTAAAAAATACTTACGAATTAAAAACCACCTTGTTTTTGATGTCGGCTAATAAAATATTACGCAACTGCAAATTTATCTTCCATTTTAGCACCATCTTTTTCTTAATAAAAAACAATTACGACAGTCCAATACTAAACTATATTAAAAATTTAAATTACTAACATGAAGTGAACAACAAAGTCAAGTGAGTGAATGATCATTCAGTGATAATGAGTGAACTAAAGTGATGATTGTAATGAACGAAGTGCCGACACGGCCAAGCGACGGTGAACTATTATACAAGCCTGTTGTGCTGTTCAGGAAAATATGGCAAAGAACACTATCGTTCAGGAAGAGAAAGGTAACATGCAAATTACAAAAAAAATATTATTATTTTTAAATCACTCGCCGTGAGTTTCTGAGTTGTTTTGTCAAAGATAATGACAGGGATATGTTTTATATACAGACTTTGGTCTCAGAGACCCACGGTCAATTAGATATTTAATCTTAAGGTTCCTTTTCCACTAGTGCGACTAGTAGCCCGACTCTGAAAGCAGACGATTGCTATCTATAAACAATTGTATCACCATTCTCGCTCACAGAAGTCTTGCGGTTTAGTTGCCTAGTGAAAAACGGGTCTATGGTGTGAGATGGTCTGATAATTAAATTTATTTATATAGTAAATATTTAAATTTCTAAAATGTAAGTACCCTTTCCATTGGTGCGATGACAAGAATAGTGTGGATAATCGTACGGTGGAAGAAGGGTTTAAAACTTCGAATACTAAGTTGAGTTGTAACTATTTTTAGGCATTATTAGTTAGAATCCTTTGGCGCGAATGGCGCGCTTTCGTTACAAAGTCAGGTGTCAGATTGATTAGTGAGAGGATATAAACGTCGATACTTTAATAAGGGTAGTGTTGCGCCGATACACCGGCTCACTGTCGAATTTTCTTCGTAATACTATAAACATTATTTAAAGTGTTAAAAAATTTGTGACAAAAGGTTGTATCTTTTGATGGAGTTGGCTTAGAAGTTTTATTTTACGCACCTAGCGACCGCAGAGCTGAACATTTGATATAAATTCTAGCTTGATACCTTCACGCGTTTTTGAGAAAAAGGGACAGACGGACGGGCGGACAACAAATTGATCCTATAAGGGTTCCGTTTTTTTCCTATGAGGTACAGAACCCTAAAAACATGTTGCTATATCAACATTTATTTATTCTTTAAATTTGGTAAGTAGGACGCGTTTATCTATACCTTGAAATGAACGCAATAATGTGTTTTATTTCAAGTTCCCAAAGTCAAGATAATCACGTTTTTAAAAGTTCTACTTAACGTTAATTTTGTAGATTTTATTACTAACTAGCTGTCGCCAGCAACTCCGTCCGCGCGTAATTTAAAAACCTTGATTAGCCTATGTGTACATCCAGTCTATGTTCTATATGTATACCAAATTTCATCGAGATCCATTCAACCGTTCTAGAGATACCATACCATGCCTTCCATCTAAACATTTTTTTATGTCATAAGGTGGCAAACGAGCGAGTCGCCTCCGGGACGCACATTCATTAGACGAAAAGCGGAATTGCTTCCACTTCACGCCTGTCTTCTGTGTGGTCGTGGTATTTTACCGGGCGAGCCGGGCCAATTCGTGCGAATAAAGCGGGCTCTACCACTGTAAAAATACGCATTTATAATATTAGTAAGATTTATGCAGCTGACTGTATATACGTTCCTTGCAATTCAAAACATAATATAATATGGGAAATACCGAATATAAAGCTAAAACATACATGTCTAAGTATATCTTAAAACTTTCGTAGACAATGTTTGGCAAGAACAAATTGGCACAGTTTGGCCAACATTTTATCAAGTGTTTCGCACTTGTACAAACAAATGGCACGCGGTTTGAAATTTGTATAGTTATGATTATTAATTGAGGATATTTTAATCTTAATATATTTTCATACTAGCTGTTGCACGTGGATTTGTCCGCAAGGAACAAATGAGCCTATAACATCCGGAAATAGTGTAGCTACCTCAGTGAAAGAAATTTCAAATGGGTGAAAAACAAACAAATTAATATTTCCTCTTTGTAATATTAAGTGCTTTTAATTTGTAAATAGATTAGAAATAATCTGTAAATGAAAGAACCAATAGCCTAATAGCTAAGAGTACAGATTACCACTGTTGATGTTGTAGGTTCAAATCCTGGCAACTATTGCCGTAAATCACATCTTAGCAAAAAAAGACAAACAATAACGAATAAATCTTCGCAGTGAAGAAATATAAATTAACTGGCAGCTATTAAATTAAAAAGAGTTTTCGCCGGTATTAAAAAAAAAAAGATTACTGCGATTTGGATCAAACCGTCGTATTACTTTTGCCCAGTCTTTTGTCGTCTTGATAAAGCAAAGCAAAGGGAATGTTCACAACAGACTCTGCACAGAGATTACTTGCTCTTTGACGGTAGTACATTGGTAGATTTATGATAACTAACATTAATTTCGTTTTATATTTGCTTTAATTCTCTAGCTTTTCTAAAGGCATGCAGATTTTAATTGATAAACTCGAAAACTAATTTATGACTCTAAGGGTTAAAGCACTTGACTGCATCTGTAGGTCCTGGATTCGAATCCTGCAATGTACTAATTTATTTTGATTTACATATGTACATTTATCCGACGTCCTTACGGTGAAGGAAAACATCCTGATGCAACCTGCACATATCTGAGAAGAAATTCAAAGATATTTGTGTGAAGTCAACACGCACTTGGCCAGCGTTGACTATGACTTAGTCATCACTAACTTAGGATAAGCCTTTTAGTGGGACGTTTAGTGAGTTGATATAGGGCTGTCAACTTCTCTAAGATAATTTTTACACAAGAATATCTTATCTTACAAGGTTTTTAGATTGTGTACTAATTTCACAAAGTCTTAAGTATATCCGTACGTATGTGACGTCAGTGGCAATGTTTGTTTCGAACAAACGTTATGTTCAACTATATATGTAGTGTTTCCACTTGGGCAAACATTGGCACGAGGCATTTAATATCTAGAAGTGCACTTTATAAGAATTATAAAATAATTTTATCCTTCAACAAGCGAGCGTATCACCAAATCAAAGGCCGGCGACGCTTTTTCGGTTCCTCTGGTATTGCTGATGTCCATGGGAGTCGATGAGCACTTCGGTGATTCCGCTGCTCGTTTGCCCTCATATGTTATAAAAATTTGGTTGCCAGCGACGTCTGTTGCGCGAATGGGTCTGCTCGAACCGTGAAATACCACGACAATACAGAAGACACGCCTCAAATGGTAGCAATTCTGTGTTTCGTCTCGTTCGTTCCAGAGGCCTAATTTTAAAACCCTGTTACCTTCTCGCTCTTTTCTTATAAGGAAACGATGTTCAGGAAAATATTATCTTTCCGTGCGTTCCCTCCTCTGTCAATTAATTGTAGGCATCTGCAATAGTGGATGTCTATGGGCAGCGTTCACTTCACTATTTCAGCAAATTCAGATGGCCGAGTCGTTTGTCATCTTAGGTATAAAAATACTAAAGAAAGTATGAATGGATTGTCTAAAAGGGGATATAAGTAAGAAGTGATATTCAGATATGACGGTCGATAGATGTGTATGGAAGAGTTATATTCTGCCGACACGCCGCGTTATGTAATTCATTACACAATAGGTAATATGGGTAATGATTACACAGTAGGTAATAAATTCCTTGGCGGTATATATTACGAAAAAATATTAGTTTTGTCTTTGGATTTTAAGGGTCCGTTCACAAAGACCGAGGCAAGAGGATAACAGTTTTTAATTCAATTAAAATTAATCTTTATCTCATTGTTATAAGGTTTAATTTTACTTTTCACGTCATTTTTATACTTGTACTTGATAAGTAGTATATGCAAAGTATTTTATATGTGATAAAAAATTTGCTCTCCTTTTGCTTTCGTCAATGTAAACGGACCTTAAGCCGGGATAATTCAAATATTATTTGTTCCTGTAGGAATGACTCGTGGAATAATACATGACTGGAAACACAATAATAATTTTTATATTTAAACGAAAAATAAAGCATCTTGTAAAAATTTTATTCATAAAATATCATTAGGATTTAAAAATGACACTTTTACGATATAAATTTGTATTATTTGTTATGCGTTTGTAAATATTTATTTTTAGAAACACAGATGTCAAATAAAAATACAAAATTAATAAATATTTTCGTTTTATGTTCACTAAAAATAAACTCGTTTTTATACTTTATGTCATAAATCTTTAATATTATATTAAAGTTATTTGATTGGTTAAAAAATTAAAGGTGTTATTTGGTATATTACCTCGTAATAAATAAGAATAATAACTTTAAATAAACAACAAATTAAATTATTATTTTGTCTATCTCTATTCCAGTCGGAGGATCGATTTGCCGGATACAAAGGAGTACGAGACATCACCATCAAAAAGGTAAAAATTTCATTTTGTACCCTGTTACATAAAAATAGCAATAGGAACAAACACATAATATGCTATTATTTTTTGGAAGGCGTTTTGAAAATTCATACAATTTTATTTTTACAGGCGTTTTTAATTGTAAATAATATTTATTTTATTTCAGGGTCCGGCTGGATTAGGAATTATGATAATAGAAGGACGGCATACGGAGGCGGGGCGCGGGATATTCGTGTCCGACTTGCAGGAGGGCAGTGCTGCGGAACAGGTATAGACTGACTACGCTATTTATGTAATAGTACCAACTCCAAATGAAATTTGAACCACAAGGATCTAATGACAAAAACAAAAGTGTGCTTTACAACTATAGAAAGAATTCTAATAATACTTACCTTTGTTTATGAGTCAATAAATTTTATATCATTAACCGTGGGTTTCTGAGCCCAAAATCTCTGTATAAAACATATCGTCATGCCTGTCATTATCTTTGACAAAACTGAGATAACCATATGTTTGAAACGGAGATTTCGATCTTGGAACACCACGGTAAATTAATAAAATTGCTTCCAGGCCGGACTTAACATCGGTGACATGATCCTGGCCGTAAATAGAGACTCTTTGCTTAGTTGCAGCTATGATGCCGTAAGTATACTTAATCGAATTCATTGCAATAAAAAAATAATTCGTTTACATTAGAAATATAAGCAAAAAAACATGTTCCAACTTGTTTTCTCATAAACATAAGAAACTATTATCTCTACTGTATAAATTGTTTGTAATGGACATAATTCAGAGTCGGTTTGAACATTTCCGGCGCTCTGCGTGAGATTTTTGCGGCACCCCCTTTTTTGGTGTCGGAGTAAATGCTCCGAAAATAAAGTATCTTAGGGGCAATCGCCAGAGTTAGATATAAATGGGCGCATGCAGTGTCTTATCCCCGGCGCTCCACTCCGCTTTAACCTAACATGGCTACTGACAATATTTTCTAAAACATAATTTTAATTATTTTACATTGAACTGAATTGTAGGCGGCCGCTAAACTCAAACACACGGAAGGCGTGGTCATACTCACAGTGTGCAGTCCCAACATGAAGGATCCTGACAAAGAAGATCCTTCAGGTACATCTGGTTTCTTATCTTGGTAATTTGTAAGAAAGTATGTCCAGAACAATTCAACGGCTCTTGATAAAATTTTACGCAGATGTAGAAAATTTCACTGTGAGAACAGGGTCGCGAGCGAAAGGTGTTCAAGAAAATACTTTACGCCACGGATTATAAATTCTCCTCGTAGCTTCTAACACTGTAATTATTGTAATACATTTAAGGTGCGAGTGGGAATCAAACTCCTGACGCGTTGTCAGCCGGCGCGTCTCGCCCGCAGACACCAAGACCTGCTCCATCGCCTGCTAAAGGTACATACATAGAGCTTTAACAAAAGAGGACGACGAAAAAGACTAACACTTTACAACACTGTATCAAATGGTGAATTTCCTCTACCAAAATCATCATCATCAGCTCACTATACGTCCCCAGTGAGGGACTCGGAGTTTACCCTAAGTTAGGGGTGACTATGTCATAATCAACCACACTACGCCTAGAGCGGGTACTACCAAAATACTAGTAAAATAACCTGTAGCAACTTAACAACTCTCCAGCGGAGCCGCCGCCCGACCCCGCCACAGCGCCGGTGAAGCCCAACCAGGAGATGGTCATTGAAATCAACTCCAACAATGAGAACCTCGGAGTTGTCCTGCTCGGAGGCAGCGATACATTGATTAATGTAAGTAGTCTTAACGTGAATACACACTGGAGCGATTTCTCGAGCTATGTAATGTAACGTTCTTACGAATCTTACTAATATTATAAATGCGGATGGATGGATGTTTGTTTGATCGTATATCCAAAACGGCTGAACAGATCTCGAAGAAATTCATATAGAACGTAGTCTGGGACAACACATATGTAGGCTACTAATTTAGTTTTTTTTTAATTCCGTTCGGACGGAGTCGCGGGCAACAGCTAGTAATATAATATAGGTGGTTCGTGATACACTAGACTAGAACATATCATATTGTTCTGTTACAAATAAATACTTATGGTACCTTTAAATAAAGGTGAATTTCTGTATACAGACGAAGCTGGATAAGCGAGAGTGTAAGATATTGTATAATAGCTTATACAGGTTGCTCTCTAACTCGAGCTTCTCTTTCTTACTTTTCTTTTTTTTACTTTAACTCACATAGATCGTTCATTGGACATGAAAAAGACTTACTTATTCAGTTCTCATTAATCTAGCTTTAATTCTATATATAAATAGATTAATTTTTAAACATGAAAAATTTTCAAAATGGATACCTCCATATAAAATGCCTTTTTTCTTAAATTCTTCAGGGTGCAGCAGCGGTAATATTAGACGTATATAAAACTGGGGCAATCGGCAAAGATGGACGTCTGCAGGTCGGTGATCAGATCCGCGATTGCAACGGCATTGCTATCACAAACAAGATGGCGCACGAGAGAGTCTGTCTCAGCATCAAACTTAAAGCACCTAAGGTCAGTATACAAACAATATTATAAGAGTTAACACCCTTTTCGACTAGCGCGACTATTTATGCGGCCGACAATGATTCTTGGAAGCTACACGATTTTCCACTCCTACAAACATAGCGTCGTTTTTTTTGCGAATCATAAAGTTTTTTCTTAAACATAGTTGATCTTTTGTTTCGTACAAGTAAATGGCATGTATTAGTCATTTTTGTGAGATTTTTGGGACGTCCCCATTTTTGTGTTTCGGGGGAAATCTTTCAAAGCTAAAATATCTTAGGGGGTAACTGTAGGTGCCTCTTTACATCCTACTTTGGGGCCTGCGGCGTCCCCTTGTACCCGACGACCTGGGCGATTACCCTACCTGACCCTACCGTAACGCCGCTACTGAATACAAGAAAACTTCTACCAAACGCCATTGTTCATAAATTGCTCACAAAAATAGCGGTCGAGAGCAGTTAGTCTTGCTAGTGGATATAGATTTAACTATTTCCCATATTAGCTCGTTTTAATTACATTATTTTATGTTCCAGCTGAAATTGACAGTGTTCCGACCTGATCCGATCCAGTACGAGGAAGTGGAAGTGGAGCTGACGAAGAAGGCGGGTCGCGTGTTGGGACTGACTTGTATAGCTCCTGTGCAGGGAACTGGTGTTTACATCGGAGACCTTGTGAGTATTCTACTAATACTAGCAAATGTCCACGGATTCGACCGCGCGAAATTAAAAAAGCCTATGTCACCTTGGGATAGTGTAACTTCATAACAGTGAAAAAAATTTTCAAATCGGTTCAGTACTTTCGGAGCCTATTCCAAACAAATATATGCACAAGCGATTCGAAGGATCGTTCCTTGTGCGTACCGCAAAGGATTGGAACAAGTTGCCAGCCTCTGTTTTTCCGGCCAGATATGATATTGGGACCTTCAAAAGTAGAGTGAATAGGCATTTACTAAACTAGCGCGTACCATCTTTCGACCAAGTCTCCACTTCACCAGGTGGGATCGTGGCCAAGCGCTAGCTTATAAAACGTAAAAAAAAAATATATTATACATTGGATAAGCCATAGATTAAGAAAAACAAATAGATGAACAGATCTAGGTGAAGTTCGAAACCGATATAGATTACTGTTTTGATTATTGCCTGCTTTATAAGTTTTTTTTGTCATGACAAAATCTCATGCAAAAGTTTGTTCGTATGGATGTTTAGTAACGTCAAGGAAATATATCACAATGGAATTATCGTCTAGCTTTCACTTATAGATTTAAATTAAATTTCCAGCTCCCCGGTTCACCTGCTGAAGTTGACGGTAGAATTCAAAAAGGTGACCTACTGGTGTCAGTCGACGGCAAGGACTTGTCCGGAGCGGACTACATCGCGGCCGCAACTGCGTTGAAATTGTGCGCCAACAAAACCACGATTAAAGTGAAAAGATTTAAAATAATTAGTAAATAAACTGACAATGCAAAAGTGACTTTATTTTATTGTGTTTAAGGTTTATTTCTGTGTGTTAATTGAATTATTGCAATAGTGTTATGAATTATTTTTTAGTGCCGTATTATGTGATTTATTTAAAATAATTTTTAGTTTTAATGAACAATGCAATCTCGATTTTATCGCGTAAGTGATACGACTTATTTTTCTAAAACCGAACCATTTAACATTCATTTTATGTATTTGTTCAAATTTAGTTTTGTATTTTCTTTAATCTTAAAATGCAAGCGAATTTAGACTTTAACACCAAAGATTAGGGCACATTTATTAACAACAAACGCATTAGGATGATTATAATTATTGTAAATATTATTTTAAATTGTCGCATTTTAAAGATGCATTTTATTTTTAAATTCAACTTCTTTGCTTACAAGTAAGAAAATGTTGTTCAATTTTGTTGTTAATTCCATTGAAAATAAAGTTTAAATTGCTTTGACGGATCCAATGAAGGAGTGGTATAAAAAATAATTTCAAATAATGCACTAGTAATTTAACAAAATAAAGTACACATTTATTTTAACTAATTTATAATATTTTGAAAATATCAAATTTTAAAATCCCATAAAATTCACTTGTGAAACAACGATCGTATCGTTGTCTCTGTTTTTTCAAAGGGAAAGAAAGAGATGACTATACGTTTGTGCGTTTGGCAGTTGCACACGGCACTATTTTTTGCAACATACTGTATACCTTTCTTCACAAAATTTCTTGTAAGCTACAATTTATTTCCTACACATTTCTTTGAAATATCATTTGACGCTAATCAGGTCCTTATAAAGAACCTTTGTCTAATTAAAAACCTAAATAATAGTACTTATCGTGTCAGTTGATGTAATATTCAATTCTGAGTGGGATGCGAATTTAGTTCTTTGTTACATGTGACGTCAGACAGGGATGGTAAACCAATGGCACGCGACATAATATTTCAGGAACGTCCTTGGCCATAAAATTCCAATAAAAAAAGTATGAATTAGGGAGTTTAAATATATGATTTTTGCGCTATGAAATGTTCACATAATAATGTCAAAATTATTGTATTCATTTAGAAAAATGACAGGCTTATGTTAAGGTTCACCAACCCTGTTATAGTACATCGCTATGTCATAGTGTACGTATTCAATGGGTCTAGTACAAAGATTTGTGACTAGAGCCATCTTATCTTCGGTGTCAAAAGTACTCAAAGTTTTACCGCCCCCTATCGGGCGTAAAGTACACCAAAAATCTTATACTAATTTTGACTACGATACTCAGGTAAATATTCGTAATAGGCCCATTGAAGATGAATTACTAATTACTTTGCCAAAGTATTAATGCACTAGATTAAATATTATTTAATTTTAAAATAACTTAGATTAACTTAATTAATTTATTTTAAAATTTTATTTTGAAGAGGATTTTAATTATTAAAAGTGAATAGACAATAAGAATTTTGATTTTATTCTTACGGCTTTTAATACGAATAAATCTAGATGTAATATCTAGATAGATTTAGAATATTCTAGAAAAAATACAACACTTCTTTAATCAGAATTTCTTAGTTTTTGCAATAGAAATTAAAATTAAGTATAAAAAGTACAGATAAAAATATCTTTAATTAGTAAAAAGCACTGAATTACTAATTTACACGTAGTTTTGAGATATCTTATAGTCACATATTGTCTCTTTCGTATTAGTAAGAATAGAAAGGGACAACATTATATAAAAAACAATTTGTTACCAATTTTATTTTGTAAACAATGTAACTGGCCGTGAATTTCTGACATCAAAATCCACGTATAAAAACATATTGTTATCTCTGTTTTATCAAAGATAATGACAGAGATGACGATATGTTTTATAGAGATTTTGATATCAGAAACCAACGGTAGATGGCGTTGTTTTTAATTTTGAATATTTGATTAAAAAAATTTGATTGTCGAATTTATTTTTGATTTAAAATTTCTTTTCCATTGAAATAAATAAGAATTTATGTATTATAAAATGGAATTTAGAGTTTGTAAATATGTTTGTACCACATTAGGAAGCTAGTTGCAACATCAATCGAGCATAATATTAGAATTAAAAATATTAAAAAGAAACACATCGTTTCGTTAATGACATGATTTGCTTTTTTTATTAATTTAGTACAAAATTCATTCAAAATTAGCCAAGTTATAAAAGTATATTTTGAATAGATTTTGAAATATGATTCGTTTTAACCTTTTATGTATGATTTAAGTCCATTTCGGCCTGAACTAAGTACTTTATGTAATGTTTTTGCACACTACGAGTGACGTATTTATATTCAACTATGATGTTATGTTGTTACGTAGTACTCCATTTCAGCGGGATTAGACAAAGTACATTCGCTTCGAAGCGATTCCATAACGAACTTAAAAATGTATAGAACTGATGCGCGACAATCACGTGACTTAACCAAAGTTATTCTCAGTTCTATAAATTTTTGAAGTTCGTTATGGAATCACGTCAAAGCGAATGCATTTTGTCTAATCCCCCTGAACTTTTTAACTTATATTTTGTTTAATATAGAAGTCAATAATGGCCATAAAATTTTTGTAATACATATAAAAAAAAATTAAAAAACTGCTATAAAAACGGCTAAACACGTATATTCGTTTGAGTGAGCGACGGGCCGCGACCGCGATATAATACCAGTACCACTCATCCTGATGGGCTCGAAACTAGTCGGTGCCGCAACCGGACGAATATACGTGAGTGTTTAGCCGTTTTTATATCAGTTTAATATTTCAAACAAATTAAAAATAAATTAAAATAGATAATTAAATTTAATGACGTTTGTAGATTAATAAGCGAACAGCGTAGCCTAATTCTAAATTATTTGTAAATTGTAAAAAAAAATTTAAAAAAAATCCTCTTCCTGGTAATAATGTACTAGACATATTGTATATAGTATATAGTAGTATATAATCGTTTTTTCATATAGCAACACTTTTGTAGATTATGGCGTCAAATGTTGCCAATGTAACTAAATAGATATGTAGGCTACGTATGTTAGGTTTTGCAAATCGTTGGTATGAATAACAAAATACCAACCTAATAATTAAATATCCTTTTACAAAGTCATGGGTTCGAATCTCATGTCTCGACCATTATTACGGTGGCTCAGAGGTTAAGGACTTGAATATGGTCCTGGGTTCTAATTCCGTTATGTACCAATGTGTTTTTCGATTTACACATGTACATCCTATATTCTCACGGTGAAGGAAAACATCGTGATGTTGCACATATCTAAGAACAAATTCAAAGATATGTGTGAAGTCAACCCGTACTTGTTCAGCGTGGTTGAGCGCCTAGTCACCTAACTTTGTAGTTCAAGCCCCTCTTTGTGGATAACCAGCAAAATATAACATAAGTAGCCTAAACCCCTTTCCTTCTAGATATAGATTTTAAATTGTTATAGATAAATAATAAACGGATATGTGCCACAGATTCAATTTGAAAATTTTGACAGATGCAGCATTTTGTACGTAATTTTTTTTTAAAATCTGACAGCCATATAGTATATAAAAAATTTGCCTTATAATTAAGTTTGATTTAATGAATCGCTTAACCTTCTCTTATTATAGTTAAATCTAATTATTTATTATAAGTCTAGTAAACAAAATATGTAGACAATTTGAACTTTTAGTATTAACGTAGAATTTCGATTTTATAGCCAATTTGAAAAAAAGAAAGTTATATTTAATTCGTTCCGTTTAATCTGTGGGTTTACATTGGTGAGAAACATGTATAAAACTTGTTTTATTCAACAATGAAAACCTACAGATAATATTTATTCCTAAAACAATGCGAACTATTGGTTATATAAAAAATCGTAATAAATTGTGCGCTTTTTAATCTTTTGTTTTATTTATTCGTTAACTTAAATTAAGGTAGAGGTCTTAATAAAGTATGGATTGAGTGAAAGGGGATATGCGTAAGGAGGAGGTGGTTATAACGATTTTGTTGGAGTGGGGAATTTAGCGCTGTTCTTGTTTAGGATGAAGCGGTCACAGTACAAAAGAGGTCTTGGTTAGTTTCGCAATGGAGGTATGTACTTATTAAGTACTAACAGTCGCCCGTAACATGGACCGATGACCTGGTCAAGGTTGCGGGAGCGTCCTGGATGCGGTGGCACAAGACCGGTCATCGTGGCGATCTTTGGGGGAGGCCTATGCCCAGCAGTGGGCGTCTCATGGCTGAGAAGAAGAAGTCGCCCGCGACTTTTGGCCGCGTAGAATTAAGAAAAAACATAGTATCTATGTATATTTAGCCAGACTGTGGGACCTGTTTAGCAGTTCTGTACATATCTTCAAACAAACATCCATCAGGGGTTGGGATTTGAAGCTTATTGTTTTTTTTACCTTGAAATAAAGGAAATATAATAACAAAAATGAATCATTAAACAATTTTATTTCAAACTTTTGACTAGACAGTACAAATATTACAAAACTAATCAAACATGATGTCATTACACAAAAAAAAAAAAAAAAATTTTTTTGTTAAAAAATTTTAGCATTTTTTTTATTTTCTTAGATTGATTGTACCATTCCAAGTTAGCTCAAGGCTTGTGCTAGGATATGGTTTACAACGATAGTAGAATGGTGGGATTCGAACTCTCGACTGATCGGAATTCCGTACCCTTAACAATTAGGCTATTGGCGCACTAAATAGCATAATAATTGTTATTTTTTTGTAATCTGAATAACATACAACATTAACCCTTAATTCGACGAAATTATTTGTAGCAAAAAAACTTTTTTTTTAGTAAATTCATACTTACGTAATTTTCTCTAAACTAGTTCAGTAGTTTTTTTTTAATTAGTTGTTCGTCACACTGTACACCATCACTATAAAATGATTTTTAAGTTAGTTTTTTTTTTTAACTTTGTTTTTTGCTTTTCTTCAAAAAAGATTTCTGGCCACAATAAGGGTTAAAAATACTTTTATACATCATCAAAATGTATGAATGTTTTCAACTTGTACTTATAGTTAATTTGATTAACATAAAGTCATATTACACATATACACATAAAGTATATTTTAAAGATAAAAGCAATATTTTATAAATAAAATTTATAACAGTGATATAAAATAAGGGGGCATAAATTACGTGAATTGTTTAAGGGGGAGGGGGTCGAGTCAAATCTCATCTAATCTTACGTTGGAAAGAAGTGGGGCTCCCGGCAAATATCACGCAATTTTTGACTGATTGAAACAAAAAAAAAAGCACGGAGCATTTTTTTCTTTTTATAATAACAATCCAACGCGTTTACGTAAAAAACTCACATTTTGATTAATCTCACGTGAGATTGGGGGATGGGATTGAATAAAATCTCACTACATCTCATCAGGGGCAGGGAGCCGCAGAAAATTGAAAAAAACACCTCACGTAATTTATGGACGCCCCCTAAATACTTTAAATATTATATTAAATATATTAATAATGAAAATATGTAATAATTATTAATTTTATATCAAAGAGAAATAAAATAATACTATTATATATAATATTAAAATATAATATTAAAGCTAATAATACAGAAATATTAGTAAAGATGACTAAAATTGTAACAAATAATTGTGTTTCATTTATTTAATTTAATTATCAAATTAAAAATTAATATGTAGTAATCAAATTATAATGATTATTCGAAACAATTTTAAGAACAATAAATACAAAATTTACAAAGCAGACAGATTGAAATGATATAATTTAAATTAAGATTATGAGAAATAATGAAAGAAAAGATAGGAGAGAGATAGGGGGGGGAGAGAAAGAAAGAACGGTCAGAAATATGCAAGATACGTTTTTTGCCAGGTTTAAAGTAGCTTTTCATTAACAATAATCAACTTGTTAATGCCAAGTACTTCCTAAGTAATCTTTTTAGGGTTCCTATCTTTCCAATTCGAGTGTAAACAAGAAAGAAAAAGAGAAGAAGATAGAAGAGAGGGAAAGAACGAACAGTCAGATATATGTATACTTAAGTTATCTGTCAGTTTCGTTTAAGTTTTTTTTTTTTATTAACAAAAAAAATGTTATTGCTAAGTACTACCTAAGTACACAATTTAAGGCTTTTATACATAATTTACATGAATTAATAAATAAATAAAAATCAAGTCAAATTAATTGTACAATGTTGTTCCATATAACCTTATACTCTTTCATCGGAACTTTTTCTTATAACTAAAGGCTTCAATTTGCTTCTAAGTTTGACCAATCGTTTGCTAGCTTTGACATTCGACGTGGGATTCCTTAAGTCAGGCATTGATTTACTTTCGTGAACTGGTGGAGGTTCTAATGGTTTCAAACCTCCATAGTACCTCGGCATACTGAAATCATTTTCTTTGAACATTAAAGCAGTCTTCTGTTTTATACTTTGCAAGCTAGTTTCACCCTTATATTCAGGCAGAGAAGGACTATCTGCAAAGAATCTTGGTAAGTTGTTACTCCTTATTATTGGTGTATCTGGGAGTTGACTCAACTTTAATTCATGCTCTGCTAATGACGTCACTCCAACTGTGGATTTACTCTTCATCAAAGGAGGTTTTGTTGGTGTTAAATGTTCTGGAATGTTCAAGAATGAAGCACTTCTATGTGGTACTCTTGCTAGCACTTTATTTATCTTATTAGGATCAATATTCTTTAGACTTTCCACTCTGTTTAATGTCGATTTAAGGAGTTTGTTACTGTCAACCCTATCCAAAGTCCGTACACTATCGCTTCTATTAATATCAGATTTTTGTCTTAATATACCTTTTACACTTTCAACTCTTGGTAGAGTTAGATTCGTTGGTAGTTGTACTACTGATATTGGATCATATTGGTATATTGAATTGGGTGTTGTCATTTTTGGTTCACCTTTCAAAGTCACCGTACTTGGTTTGATTACGTTTTGTTTCTTAACCGAAACACTCATTGTTAATCCTTCTTCTTCTTGACTTTTCCTATCTTCTTCTTCTTCGTCTATTTTAAACATATCATAGCTAGCTAGAAGTTCGTCTTTGAACATGATCTCGAAATCAGTAACGGGAGAATCTACTTCGTCTTCGAAGTATACCTTCGTTCTGTTCGGTCTATCAGATAGGTAGTCAGGTTCTGATTTAGTCTCGATATCATCGAGAGTGTCCAAGCTTCCTTTAGATTTGAGTTCATGGTCTTCTCTGAATATCAGAGATTTAGAGAACACCTGCAATTTTATATAGATTATTATATGATATAAGGCCTATGTCGACGGACAACCTGACATTCGCGATGCTGGGCAATAGCAATGTCAATGTACCCATCCATCCATCCATCCATCCATCCATCCATCCATCCATCCATCCATCCATCCATCCATCCATCCATCCATCCATCCATCCATCCATCCATCCATCCATCCATCCATCCATCCATCCATCCATCCATCCATCCATCCATCCATCATTACCTTTGGTTTGTGGGACCAAAATCTATATATTTAGCTCTGTTTTGTCAAAGATAGAGATGGGATGTTGGTCTCAGAAGCCAATGATTAGTTTTATTTTGAGATTGAAAGAGGAGACTTAAATGAGATGTCATAGATTCAGTATCCAGGAAGTAACAGTAAATGTTGGTTTCTAAAATATATTGTAAAGTATTAGAGATTTTTTAGGCACGAGCTCATATAGTTTTCGTATTAAAAGTTTCGTATCGAATCGAATAAAATATTAGAATTTACCTCGTAAATCTTATCAGCATGTATTGGCATCTCCTTCACCTCCCTTCCCACCACTGCAGTGGGAGGGAGATGGTTGTTATTATGTGGCTGCTGCGTCACCACGCTCTCCAGACTGGCACCCATATTGGTGATGCCATTGGCGTACACTGACGTCACACCGTCATCCAACCTGTAGACATAGACTTAATTTACATCATGCCAGCACAGGACAGTAGCACTAGCACCTTCCAATTCCAAAATATTGGCATTGGTGTTCACATTACACCAGTTGTATGCCAGAGGTAATTTCTGCTACTGGCTTACTGAGCTGGCTTCATGTAAACGAGACATTATTGTAGCCACAGTTATAATTTATGATAAATACATAAAAGATAAAACTAAAAGTAAATTAAGATTAAATTTTATCAAATGTTATAATTAATATTTGTTTTATAGCACTTGTCCGATTGCTCGACGAACTGTAAACATAGACTTTGAATAAGGATTTGTTTATTTATATAAATAAAGAAAGCTAATTTAAGACTGCAAGGGGCTAGACAAAAGGCATTCGCTCAGAAGCGATTCCATAACGAACTTCCAAAATGTATAGAACTGTCGCGCGTCAGCTCCATACTTTTTTGTAGTTTGCTATCGAATCGATTCGAAGCGAATGCATTTTGTCTAGAATGTTTTTAGGCTACCGCATAGGAAAAAACGGAACCCTTACAGGATCACTTTGTTGTCCTTCCTGTCTGTCAAGACCCCTTTTTTTATTCCCCGAGGACGGAGTCGCGGGCGACACCTAGTTAGCATATATCTACAGTAATGTTGATGACAAATCAGATAATTGCAACATTTTAAGTACAAGGAGAATCTCTATCACTCGTGCAATAAACCAGTATCATAAAACTATAACTATAACTATGTTACCGTGATACATTATATACAGTGGATTGCAACTTCGTATATTATGTATACATAATTATGTATCCTTTTATATGTAATGCATGTTGAGTTAATATCGAATATAGTCGAGGACCTTAATTTCCTATCCTTTAAAGTCAACGGTGACAGTCTGGGAAGCAAATTTAATTCTTCAACTGTACATATCCGTTCTAAAAATGTATATTAATTGCATCTTAAAGTCTTTAAAAGTTTGAATTACATCTTACTAATATTATAAATGAGAAAAGTTTAGATGGATAGATGGATGTTTGTTTAAAAGTATCTCCTGAACAGGTCGTCAGCAGGATGTCGCTTAAATTTGTCATAGATGTAGAACATAGGCTGATTAAGTTTTTTTTCCGCGCGGAAGAAGTCGCTGGCTACAGCTAGTTATGTAAACGTATAAATATGTCAACTCTTTTATCGCGTACTGATATTAGACATTACTAAGAATCATGATTATTAAAATATGAGTAGACTTCCGAAATGCGATCTTTACAAATATATAAAGAAAGTAGTTTTTTGTGATATTTTTTGAGGGTAAAACATATACTTTTATATTCATTTTGATATCCATAATAACAATCAACGGCTGTCAAAGGGTTGAAATACGATTTTAACTTAATAGTAAACTGCATTTTTGGAGTGATATAGTCAAAATTATCTTTATAAATTTACAATATTTTTATTACTATAAATTGAACTACCACGGATACAAAAGGCAGTTGTAGAAACCGCACGCATCGTGAGAAGGTTCCTGTCTGTAGCCCTCAACACTGCTTGTTTGAGTCATGGGATTCCACAGCCGGTGGTGTTTTGTTTTATTAAATTTACTTTAATATATTAAGAATAAGATAAATAAATTAATACGTTATAAATGCGAAAATTTAAATGGATGGATAGATTAGGAGGTGTCTCGCGACAGTCTGAACACATCTAGATGAAATTTAGCACAATGTCCATAGTCTGGATGAAAATATAGGTTACATTTTTTTTTAATTTCGGACGAAGTCGCGGACGATAACTAGTTTACAATATATTAATTTTAATAAGTAGGAATTACACAATCTTATTAAAAACAAATCAAATTTCATGTATCATTCATAAATCGATAAAAAACAATACTTTTGCACATACAAAACCCCTTTTATATCTTTTATCATGCTTTATTATAATTTTATCTTTATATATCCTTGATAAGATATGTTGGTATATCTCAAGGTATGTTTCCGACATATTCAAGAGTTAACATTGTGATATTGAAAATATGCACTACGGAGCTCTTTACTTGGCCCGATTTTCATTTGTTTCCGTGAATTTTATAAATCAAGTAGGCCTTAAAATTTCTTTTTCTTTTTTCGTTGTCTTGTAGTCGAATTAAATGGAAAAAAGGAATTATAACAAAATCTAAACAATTTTACATTTATAACGCTTTACACAGACTAATTAAAAACAGACATATTATTATTATCAACTAACTGTCGTCCGCGACTTTGTCCGCGCACAATTAATAAACATAATTAGTAGTCTATGTGTTCTTCCAGGCTATGTATATGTATGCCGATCATCGCGATCCGTTCAGCCGTTCCGGAGATATCTACAAACAAACATCCATTCATCTAAACATTCGCATTTATAATATTTGAAAGACAGTAAAATTAAAACACTAAAACGCTCAACATCTACATTTACTTACTTGTAAGTGGCAATTTTTTCATCGAAACAGAATCTCTCTTCGCAGCAATTCCAATACATAGTTTCCAGACAGCTGTAACAAAGAAAAATATAAATTTCTTACTAATATTATAAATGCGATTGTTTACATTAATGGATGTTTGTTAGAGTGTGCATGGATCTCGATGTAATTTGGCAAAGAGTTGAACATATTCTTGAAAAACAAATAGGCTACCAATTAAGATTTCTTTCTTTAATTCTGCGGGGACGGAGTCGCGGGCGACAGCTAATCTTACTAATATTGTAAATGCGTATGTATGGATGGATGGATGGATATTTATTTTAAGTTCCAGAACGGCTGCATGAATATTATTGAAATTTGGCATAGATGTAGAACATAGTCTGGAAGAACACATAGACTACTGAGTTGTTTTTTAATTCCGCGCGCACGAAGTTGCTGGCGACAGATAAAAATGAATACATTTTATTTTAGACATTTAATTAAGAGAATTCATAATTAAGACATAGTGATTAAAGTAAGTCTAATTAATATAAAATTAAAGAATTAAACTGTACTTAAATAACCAAAGTAATTAATTGTGTCGTTTGGTTGAATTATAGCTCATTAAAATGATTATTTTTTTAAATTTCGCCTTATAAAGAAAATAGCAAACATTGTTGTTATTTTAATTAAGAATACCTTTGATATATTTTATATATTCGATGATATTATAATTTTATGTGTAAAGTTATAATTAAAATAACTTAATTACGAAATATCTTACATAAAAACCAAAATGTAAGTACACTTACATAAACTTAAAGATTATAAAAAAATAACAATTATTTAAAAAAAAATACGGTCACAAAATCAAAAAACAAACTCCACTAAAGTCACATTTTGATTGCACTGATACACACTTATAGAAATAAATTAAAAATTGATCAAAAATTTTTATTTTATTTATACTACTTATGTACACTACTAACTCTGTTAGAACACAGGACTATACATGATGCGTCTTAAAAAAATCAAAGTCAGATTACAATAGTTGTCAATGTCAAAAAAAATCTAACAGATTATTAAAAATATCTAAAAATGCCGGATGGAAACAATTCTAACAAGCACTGATGTAATAAAACATGAAATATAAAATATGATAAAAGTCGAGGGAATGTTCTGTCGTGTTCTTTGACTCTTAAGTGGCAGGACCTGTTAAGCGCGCTCATTCCCCTATGTCAGATAAAACAATATCAACCAAGTCTTCTTGGTTGGTCTTGATGGTTGTATAAAGACGTTTTATTTTTAAAATGTTCAGCAAAATTATAAACATTTTAGTCATATTCATTTAAGTCTTGTGAAAACTGGCAAAATTTATTTAGTAGTTTTAGAGATTATTGAATGACGTGTTATCGTTACAAAGTCTAGTGTCAGAATTAATGTGAGCGGTAACAAACGTCGACATTTTAATAAGGCTAGTGTTATCAATACACTGGCTCATTTCCGGATTTTCTTCCTAACAGTACAACGGCAGCTCTTTGCCTAGTCCACATCTATATAGTCAAAGGTCTTCCCTATTTATCTCGACACTTGAGATTTCTTATCATGATCGAAGTTGGAAATTTTGTTTAGAAAGGAGATCTGACAGTGATGGAGCTTAATGATGTCAGTAAACCAAAATGGCGGCGGTTTGGCAAACATTTGATATTTGGCTTCGGAAATAGTACAACTAAAGAACACACGGTACAAAATTTAATGTAGTCGTTTTCTTTAACAGCATTTAAATAATAAACGGCAAATTAAAACGCATGGCTACTATAATGAAATATTTTAGACGTATTTTTATTTATGAGTAACCATAGGTTTCTGAGACTCCTGTATAAAACATATCGTCATCCCGTCATAATCTTTAACAACAGATATAAAAGTACATTTTAAATGGGATTTTTTGTATCAGAAACCCACAGTTACTGTAGCATTCAATTGCCATGAAACTTATTGATAATGTCGTCCCTATCGTACTTTTTGGAAAGAACAAAGACAGTACAACAATGTCGAAAGAAGAAGAAAACCAACAGCGTATTGAAATATAAAATTAAAATCCAGTACATAAAAAACAGAGCAAGGCCAATAATAGCTTAATAATAACAAAATAATTCTTACAGTCTATGATAGTCACACTAACATAATCTTAGGTTTGAAAAAACAATTTGAAAAAGGTTTAAAACACCAAGTAGGAGCAAGAAAAAAATAAATTAATACTGAAAAGAATTTAATGACTACACACACAAACGCGGACAGTAAAGTAACTTTAAGAAAATTTTTTTTATTTTAGAAAACAAAAATAAAAAAAAAACAATTAAGAATCTTGTTTGTCATTAGAAAAAAATACTTTCTGGATTTTTGCTTTAAAATAATTTTTAGACATGTTAAAGATGTCAATATGTTATGATTATTTTTACGAAGAATGTATTATTTAACAGTGGTAGAGTCCGCTTTAACATCTTCGCACGAATTGTCCCGGCTCGCCCGGTGAAATACCACAACCACACAGAAGACAGGCGTCAAGTGGAAGCTATTCCAAGTACAGTCTGATGAGTGTGCGTCCCGGAGGCCAAAATTAGTCCTCTTTCCCTTCCTCCCTCCATCCTTTCCTTATAAGAAATATGACGGGAATATTTCTTATAAGGAAAGGATGGGAAGTGGAAGAGGACTTTCCGGATGAGAGGATGCATGGAAAGGGAAAATATTTTCTTTCTGTGCATCCTCTTCTCCGTAGATTAAAGGTAGGCAACGCATATGCAAATACGTATGTCTATGGGCAACGGTCACTTCGCTATTTCAGCGATTTCAGGTGGCCGCTCGCTCGTTTGCCAGCTTGTGATATATAAAAAAAAATACTCACTATTGACATGATTTGCAAAAGTTGAGCAACATTTTCATTTACATTATAACTGATGGATGGGTGACCGCGGCCGACTCTCCTCAAAATATCTGTAAATAAAATGATTGATCTTAATATATTTGACATACTTTTTATAATATAGGTCAATATTTTTATGCGTAACATATCTTATGACCTTAAATCATCATCAGCTCACTATACGTCACCACAGAGGGTCTTGGAGCCCTAAGTTAAAGGTGATTAGGCCATGCCACGCGAAGTTGCGGGCGACCGCCAGTATATTGAAGAATAAGGTGTTATTTGATTCATATTCTCCGGAGTGACAAATGAGTACAGTCAGCTCGGCTTTTGCATAGTAAGCATCAGAAAAAACTTTTTTTTTTAGCCAACAAATTTAACTAAAATAGCGAAGTCAAAGGAAGGGATGTGTTCTTCACCTTTAATAGACAGAGGATGGGGTTTTAGAAAGAATAATTCCCCTTCCATGTACCATCTTTAATATAAAAGGACGAGAACATTGTTTGAAAATCCTAGTATTACAAAGCCAACTTTATTAACTACAAGGGCAAGAATAATATAATATATATTGTTTTGTATGTATGTATGTCAATTTGTCGTATTAACTAGCGTTTATAAGACAACAAAATATAAAGCTATTGTATGCAAATTGTAACCTTAAGATCAATCTGTGACTGATATTCGGAGCAAGGACTTTCGTTTACATGACAAAAGTCATAGAATAAATTTTAAATCAATTCACCGTTGGTGTCTATAAAAAACATATCGTCATCCCTGTCATTATCTTTGACAAAACAGAGATAACAATATATTTAAAGCGGGGTTTTTGGTGTCAAAAATCCATGCTCAGTCCTGTATCTACATATCCTGGGTTTAATTCCCGATGTATTGTGGTGTTCGATTTTTGAATTTCGTAACCGAATTTCCATGAAGGAGAATACGTGTTGCAGCCGCTGACATATGGATAGGTTATAAACCGTGATATTTTGTGTCTATTTGATTTTCGCCATTTTGACGCTGACAATTGCGGTTTGTAGGTAGTGAGCCTTTGAACTAATAATTGAGGAGGAATTATATACTTTGTAATTCGACAACAAACATTACCATTTAGCTCATCACGAACTTACATTTCGTGACTTACAAAAGTGAACTAGATAATTTGTTATTATTAACCTATTTTACATATTTCAGAAATAGGAGCAAAGGAAACTCAAACTTATAGTAATTTTATCTTACACCAGCTATCGCACGCGACTCCGCCTTCGCGGAATTAAAAAATTTGTACTCTATGTGTTCATCCCGGCTATCTCTACATCCAATTTTGCCACGCCAAATTTCAGCGATATCCATGAAGCTGTTCTGGAGATATCTACGAACAAACATCCATCCATCCATTCATCTAAATAAATAAAAACGTCGCTGATATTTCCATTGTCTTCATTACGTTAAATTAAAAAGTAAATACAGATTATCTTTCTCTTAAATAAACTTATAAAAAACCCAGTAATTAAAATATGTTTTCTTAGCTTAGTTTGTTTGACATTATAAGATTGATTGACATATTTACTCTTTAGTAAAAACGTCAACTTTATCATTCTTAGCGGAGTAACGAAATTCACCATCCGTTTTATCAAACCAAATCGAGGTTAGGGAACTATGAATATGGCGGCGGACAAGAGCGAAATCGTGCCCGTGGTCCCGTCCCGATGCGTTGGAGGAACAGAGAGGTTTAGTGGGTATGCCTCCGCTATGGAGGTGAATCCCACATAACTACCGCTTCCCCCCTGGGGCGCGGAGTATGCATAAAGCATTCCTCTCTGGAAAAAAAAGGGAACTATGAATATAACACAGCAGTTGCCCGCGACTTCGTCGACGCTGAATAAAAAAATCTAATAACAAATATAGCCTATGTTACCCGGGGATAGTGTAGATTAACAACAGTAAAAGAATTTTTCAAATCGCTTCAGTAGTTTCGGAGCCTATTCAATGCAAACAAATAACCAAATCTTTCCTCTATTTAATAATAGCTGTCACCCGCAACTCCATGGGACTCTATGGGTTCTTTCAGACTATGTTCTATACGTATGCCAAATTTAATCCGTTCTAGAGATATCTTCAAACACACATCCATCCATCCACATCACATCCATCTAAACATTCGCATTTATAATATTAGTAAGTTAAATAAAAAGCAGCTTTCAAGGCATAAATTCGAAAAAAAAAATGAATAAATAGTATCTCCTATATGTCCGTATCCTGGATCTAAACTATCTCCTCACCAATTTTCAGCCATATCGGTAAAGCCGTTCTTGAATTATAAATAGTGTAACTAACACGACTTTCTTTTATATATATAGATTAGTATAGACTTGGTATCGCCCAAGACTCCGTCAGCGGGGAATTGAAGTAACTTCCTTAGTAGCCTGTGTTCTTCCAGCGGGAACCGTGTAGCCGTTTAGAGAGAACCTCTAACAAACATTCTAGGCTACTTACTAAGGCTTCTTAATTGTACGCGAACGGAGTCGCTGGCGACAGCTAGTTATATAATAAGATGTGATACGTCAGTGCAGTCACGTATTGACCGTATGGTTAGGATCGTGACCGAACAATATGTCATCTAGAAAACACGCAAACAAAAGAATAGAAATACTAACTACGTCAGAGGTACTAACACGAGATTTATGCAATCGTTTATGATATATAACATTTTATATAATAACTCATCATCATCAGCTCACTATACTATGAAATTCGTTGTAGAGGTAGAGCATAGTCTGGTAGAACACATAGACTACTTACTAAGACTTTTTTTAATACCACGCGGACGGAGTCGCGGGCGTCAGCTACTCTTCAATAGGTTAAATGATTACTGATAAAGGTAGCGATTAATGGAAAAAGAAGGATGTACAGAAAATTATTCCCTGTCTTATTTGTCGCTTTCCCAAGAAATACAACTCCAGTCACTAATCGTAGGTTTCTAAGAATCTAATTCTCTGTATAAAACATATCGTTATCGTATCTTTTACAAAACATTCATAATATATTTGAAACGAAGATTTCTGTCTCAGAAACAGATAAAGGGTCTTGTGTAGCTTTAATATATTATAAATCTACATTAAGGGATTGTTTAATTAACAATTAAAAGACTCATATTGGATTTGAATTCCTAACCTCTATAGTGTTATTAAAAACTTCACAATCAGGTCGCTTAGAGATGAGTTATCAAGTATTGTTTATCTCTTGTTTGGAATGATTTCATTCAGTATTGTTCTCTAAAGACCGCAATAAATTTTATAGATTATGTACACTCGCTAAGAAAGATAAATAACGACACTCATAATAAATCCCTAATAGATTTCAAATGAGACAAGTGATACGACTGGTCTGCAAATGAAAATACTTTGTCAGACGAGAGTAGATTTCTTCAAATATATTTAAATGTGTTTTAAAGTTTGAATGGATGGATGGATGTTTGTGAGAAGGTATCTCCGGAACCGCTTAATTAATCTTAATGAAATTTGGCATATATATAAAAAAATAACTGGAAAAACACATAGGCTACTTATTATGTGTTTTTTTAGTCCGCACGAACGAAGTCCCGGGCGACAGCTAGTCCTTAATAGATTTCAAATGTGACTACCAATAACCTAAGGATAACTTCTGTTAATACGTCGAATGTAAATATTAGTGATGTCGAATTCTCTTCAATTTTTTTTCCGTGGCTTGACCGATTATTTGCGTAACAAAAAACATAATTTTAAGCAATGTATTAATATACTATTTTACTCATTCTTTTCCTCAATACCTTGGCACAAAGTTCCGGTTAAAGATCATTGACCGTCCCTGCCATTACTTGAAAGAGGTCGGTTATATTGAATTCGTCATTATTAACAACCATCGCCTCCCTCCTTTCCTTTTTTAGGGTTCCGTACCACATAGGAAAAAAACGGAACCGTTCTGTCTGTCAAGACTCTTTTGCCCAAAAACGCGTGAAGGTATCAAGCTGGATTTTTTTTTATATCATAAGGTGGCAAACGAGCGAGCGGCCACCTGAAATCGCTGAGTAGCGAAGTGACCGTTACCCAGGGACATACGCAATTGCATATGCGTTGCCTACCTTTAATCGACGGAGGAGAGGATGCACAGAAAGAAAATATTTTCACTTAGCATGCCTTTTCATACGGATAGCCCACTTAGACTTCCCATTCTTTCCTTATAAGAAAAAGGGTGGGAAGGAAAAGAGGACTAAATAAGGCCTCCGGGACGCACACTGATCAGATGAAACGCGGAATTACTTCCATTTTTCGCTTATCTTCTGAGTGATCATTATATCGATAGGAGCCGATTCGTGTAACACATGTTGGCGTCTACCACTATTAAGAATATAATAAGTTAAAGTAAAATAAGTTTTGAAATAATTATTGTACTTTATGAGTTTCTTCATATTAAAAAAACATAAATATCTCTAAAATAATAGGCTGGAAATAAAGTGTTTTATTAGTTTTAGGAGAGTTAGTTTTGATTTGTTAGCATTTTCTAATGTACCTTATCACAAAGAGACGAAGTACTTCCTTATAACAATTGTAATAAGAAAAGTAGGCAATTTTGGGAAAAAAATAGTTAAATAGTAAAAATAATTTAATATTAATAAAGATTAATTGTTGTGTTTTATAGAAGTTTTTGCGGTTTCTTGAATATTTGGTTAATAAATTGAGTTCCGTCTTATAATTGCGCGCTAGAAACCTGTTATTCCTAACAATGATTGCCGACCTCAGTTTCCTCTGGCGAAACAAGTACAAAAAACATATTTATATCTCAGTTTTCTCATGAAAAATGACAAGAATGGATACATTTGTACAGTGGATATCCATATTTATGTATACTAAAACATATTTTACTAATATTATAAATGCGAATGTTTAGATGTATGGTTGTTTGTTTGAAGATATCTCCAGAATAGCTGAACGGATCTCGATGAAATTTGGTATACATAGGGAACACAGTTTGGAATAACGTATAGGTTACTAATTATATATTTTTTTAATTCCGCGCGGACCAAGTCACAGGCGATGATTAGTCTTAAAATATTGTGATTAAACAAAAAAACTAAATACACGACGTTGCGTATTTTATTAGTATTATCCTCAATCTTTAAATAATTTTTAGCCATCCTATATTATGAAAAATTTGTTTATCATTATTTAAATTTTATCTGACGTATGAAAATATTCAAGGGGGATTTCTTGATAGTAGGAATTTCCGATGACTGTTGAGTCAATCAATTGATTAAATCTTGGCACAAGATATTACAATATATTAAATTTACAAAACATACAAACATCACCCTTAAATTAGGGTAGGCTCTGAGCCCCTCGATGGGGACTTGAGCTGATGATGATTCTCATATAAACTTTCCCCTAAACCCTTAACTAAGGGTAGGTTCCGAGCACCTCGATGGGGACGTTTTGTAAGCTATGATGATACAAACTTTCATGTAAATATTTTTTTTAGTAAGGTTTGGTTAATATTCGAATAATTTTATGTCTTAACAAGCTGTTGCCCGCGACTTCGTCAGCGCGGAGTAAAAAAAAATGCCTAATTTTCCCGCACACATCAACTACCTTCCCGGTAATGTCCCGTCAAAATGAAATAAACATGGATACGTAACAATTTTTATTCATTACTTACTGTTGCCCGCGGCTTCGTCCGTGGGGAATTAAAAAAAATGTTTAATAAGTAGCATACGAGCGCTTCCAGATTATGTTCTACGTGTTTGTTTCATCAAAATTCGTTAAGCTATTCTTTAGATACCTTCAAACAAACATCCATCTAAACGTACGCATTAAAATTTTCCCTACATCTACACATCGAATGTTATGCTGACTGTACTGACTCCAAAACACCAGAACCTACCAACTACTTCTGAAGACCGTCCTTTATTTGTTACAATTTAAAAATAAGCCATTTTATAAAAGAAATAATACCTCACCTATTTCAATAACAATTCCTCACACAAACAGCAACAGTTAATACATAACTAGCTTCCTCACTTTCTATTCCGATGAACAATGCATTGCAACTGATAAAAACAATTTATAATTCTAACAGCATTTAACAAAATTCACTTATAAGACCACTTTTCTTATAAACTTTCGTTTGGCGGGAATATATTTTATTTATTTACAATGAACCTTCCAACACGACGGTTGTAGTGAAACTGGCGACGTGATAGCCCGAGTGTACGGTCCAGTGATTCATTGAGACAGCTGGTTGTGTGGTACAAGTGATAAGTTATTAGCGGGTCTGATCGAACACTCGCCCGTGGTCCAAACTAAAATCATAATAGTAAAAATCTTTAGAACATATATAATTATTAAGTAACAACAATATTAAGAGTATTAATTAATATTTGGGTATTTCTACTTTTTTTATTATATGAAAAAAAGGCATTTAAAAGTGACAACTACTAGATTTATCTATTAAGTTTTCATGCATACATTTTTACAATTATAACCGAATGAATAGGAGTTCATTGTCATACTAAAAATATTTAGACTACTATGTAGGTGTCGCCATCGACTCCATCGGCGCGGTATTGTAAAAAGAAAGTAGCCGATTTTAAGACTATTAAATATGCGTATAAAATTTTATAACAAGTTCAAGTCGTTACGGAGGAGTATGATTACTAACATTGTGACACGATAATTTTATACCTAAGATTAATTCTCTAAGTTTATAACTTGTACCATACGTGACTTCGCGGTAGTCAAAGCATAATTATACCGAATTTTAATGACGGGCCAGTCCACGTGACGCAGTCTCTCATAATTACATACAACGCAGACAGTTGTTTTACTGTACTGGTGTAAACAGTGATAATAATTGTGCAAGCCTGATTTGTACACTAGAAAATTTAAAAAAAATTCCCTTATATTTGTAAAGGTTTAACACGTTAGCTGCCATGTCGGACTATATGTCCGACAAGCTAATGTTTCAATCAGGTCGTGTCGTATGTGTCCTACAAGCTATACTTCCATTCATATGTAAATAATAAATATATGAGCTATGTAAATAAGGTATTACTATATTTTTAGGTGTTTCAAATGGTTTTGGACAAAATTAAAAATAAAAATATTTTCGTTTTTCGAAAAATCATTCCGGCAGCTAACGTGTTAAAAGGTAAATTATAATATAAAAAGTGCAATGCTTCAGGATTATATATTTTAACAAAGTTTTACAGTTACTAATTTATTTTAGTCATTAAACACTACTTTATGCGTTAAGCAGCCATAGTTTTTAGGCATAGTCAATTAGGCAAGTGCTTAAAATTCGCCATACACGACCATAGTTTGCAGCCGTTTAAAATGCCATAGTAATTGCTTAAATTGGTCCGTTTATGTCGATATAAATTGTTCAATACCTTCCTAATAATCACTCAGGGATAGTGTGTGTAGCTTCCTATTAGTGAAATAATTTTTCAAATAGGTTCAGTAGTTTTGGAGCCTATTCAATGCAAACATACATACAAATCTTGCCCCTGTATTAATAGTATAGATGATCCTTTTGTTAACTGATAAAGAACCCTTTGTGAACGGTAGATAACTTACTTGTGTGAGAAAACTGTTCCATTTAACATGGGTTTCTAATACCAAATCCCTGTTTAAAACATATTACTATCTCTGTTTTGTTAAAGATAATGGCAGAGATGACGATATGTTTTATACAGAGATTTTAGTCTCAGTAACCAACGATAAATCAAACGTAAAACTTTTATAATATTTTATAGCACTAAAACAAGTTAACGAGTCTATCGACAACTGTTTTAATATAAAATTTTATCGACTTAATCATGATAAGTTTCAATTACTATCGACTTATTTGGTTCTTGAATTGGCACGCGACTTGCCTATAAAAATAACCTACAATAATTTGCCGTTACTTTAACAAAATATAGACTATATTCAATCGTAATAAAGACTATTATAAATTTTATAGACTGCAAATAATTATGGTATGGTTGTACCTAATTGGACACTGGTCTAAAATGGGTTAAATTATTAAGCTAAAGTTAGAAATAAAATCACATAATAATCAATGTAAACAACAGAATAAGTTCTGCAACTGGGTTGTTCTATTTGACAGTTTTTTATATTACGTATTTCTCAATCTATAAAAATCCATAATATCTCTGTATTTGATGAAAAATAATAAAATTTGAAAGTTTGCGTATATCAATAAATATTATTAATAATTCTATATTTATCTTTGTATTTATCCCACCGAGGGGCACGGAGCCTACCCCAAGTTAAGGGTGATTAGGCCATAGTCAACCAATACGGGTTGGTTGACTTCACACAAATCTTTGAATTTCTTCGCGGATATGTGATGGTTGCATCACGATGTTTTTCTTAATCGTAAAAACGTCGGATAAATGTACATATGTAAATCGAAAAACACATTGGTATATGGCGGGATTCGAACCCAGGACCTGCAGACTACTAGTCAAGTAATTTAACCACTGAGCCACCGATGCTCATATTTAAAAATAATATAATGAATTAAATAAAACATTACTAGCCTGTATTTTTACAGATCATTTTCCTACACTTATTCCATATTTTAGCGGTTCTGAAGATACGTAATTACATCCATCCATTTATTAGATAAGTATAAATAGAATATAAAAAAATTAAACCCTATATAAAACCTTTTTAAACACGCCTTAATAACCGATCAGATAATATGAAACCAATTTTAATCACTACAAAAATCTTAAAAATTATACAACTAAAATATTTTACATTCTATGCAAGACTATATATTAAATCAATTTAGTTTTATATTGCAAAAAAAATCGTTTTAAGTAACAAAAAAATAAGACTGCATCTTAATTCATAGTGTAATTACAAAGACAATTTACCAAGAACTCAGTTCAAGGTTTCACTGACCATCTTTTGTTCACAGAAACGGCAATTCGTCGTCACGGAAGGCAAGAGACCTTCAATTACTTTGTGTTTACACAGTTATTACACTTGTTTCACAACATATTTCCGCCCCTCTCTATCTTTTCGAAAAAACAGTGACAACGATATTATATAACAAGTATCACAACAGTGAAAATTTATAATAACAAGAGGTCTGATTCGGTATTTTTTTTACATTTGTAACAATGACTGGCTGTTGCCCGCAACTTCGTTCTTGTGGTATTAAAAAAAAACTTAACTAATAGCCTTTGTGTTCTTCTAGACTATGGTCTACATCTATGTCAAATTTCATCGAAATCCGTTGTGCCGTTGTGGAGATACCTTTTAAAAATTCATCCAAACATTCAAACATTCGCATTTATAATATTAGTAAGACTAATGTTATAAATATTATAAATACGGATGTTTGGATGTATGGATGGACGTTTGTTGGAAGTTATCTGCAGATCTGCTACATGGGTCTAGCAGAAATGTTGCCGAGACGTAGACCATAATAGTACACATAGGCTACTTAAGTTTTTTTTTAATTTCGCGAGGACGGAGTAGGAGGTAAAAGCTAGTAAGATAAATACGAAATTCATTTAGTCACAAGAAATAGCTGTTAAGTAGCAACTTTTTTTCTCTTAACATACAATTATCATTTGTAAATATGAAGACAGGTTTTTATTCAAGTTATCAAATATGTTGTCATCGCAAATAAGATAATATTATGTCATAAACTCGTTGTTAATTTGTAAACTAACATTTCCACGCAGACGGTGACGCGGGCGACAGCTAGAGTTTAATATACTGCCTGCTATAGCATTAACAATGAATTTTATAACGGTACAGATGAGACGAAAAGATTAAAAGAACTTTATATTAGGTTAGTGGAACACTATTCATAATTTGTACTTCCAATCCAAGTACAGTCACAAACATAAATCTTATCTCTACTACTGATTTTTACACATCTTGAAACGGAATTTTACTACACCACAACGGAATTACTCGATAAATGTTAAATCTTAGTTAAATTTGAGTATTTTTTTTTTTTTGCTTGGGTCAACATTTTTAGAATTATTTTTTATTCTGTATAGAATTGATTTATTTAAATTGCAAATTTGATTTTAATGTAAGAATCTCTTAAGGAATTTATCTTTGAATGTTCAAGAAAACATTTATTATTAAAAAAGTTTACTTATTAATAATACAAAGTTGTCGTAATTACGTCGCAATAATACTGTAGCCACAATCGTAAATATATAAAATATTTATGAGCTAAAATGCTATTTATCCTTATAACGAATACGATCATACTAAAAATATTTACTAAAGCACAACAAATTATTTAATTTGTTGCATGTTTTAAATCTTACTAATATTATAAATGCTAATGTTTGGATGGAAGGATGGTTGGATGGATGTTTGTACATATCTCCAGAACGGCTGTACGGATCCCACTGAAATTTGGCATAGATGTAGAACATAGTCTGGAAGAACATATAAGCTACTGAGTCTTTTTATTTTGGGAGGACGGAGTCGCGGCTGACAGCTAGTTTCAAATGAACCGCAATAAAATTATGTTCGCGACTGTATACATTGTTGTACTTTATGAACTTAAAAGACGGAACAAAAAAGCCGCAGAGTCAAATCACAATAAGTATATTTCAATGAGGCTTTACATACTTTTAGATTACTTAAATATTTTGATGTTATTTTGTTTTTATTAATACCATATGAAAATGAATATCGAAGTAATGCCACCTCATCGTCTATGTTTTCATACCAGAGCACAAGAATTAGGTAGAGCAGTGGACATTGATTGCAGTACTGTACACAACGCCGAACACATGTTCCGTCTCGGAGTGTACAACACCAGTAATGCAGCCTACTGCTCTGGCTCAATGCTGTACCCACGTGTGAAAGTATTATTAGACGAAATATGTTGAAGAGAATGTATTATTGTAGTACACGTGACATTGTCAGACAATGATAGACTGTCATATGATCAGGTTAAGACATTAATTTTGTATTTAAATGTTCATGAGTTGACAAGACAAAGCAATTTAAAACGGCCACTAATATACTATAACTATCACTATAATATATCAAGAAAACGATATAAAATATTTCTAGAATATCTATTTAAACTGAAAAGTAACTTTGTCTGTCTGTCTTAATTAGTTAAGGTAAATCAATGTATAGTTTTTTGACATTTGCAAATGCGAATGTTT